CTGACTGGGGGAAGGTCTGCTGGGAATAAATCTTAAATTGAACCCTTGACTCTAGGGCCATGATGCACAGTATAAACTCTTACACTGAATCCTTTGGTTCATTACACAATGCACATGGCAGACTTAATAGAAGGCAGCAGAGAACTGAGGGGGAAAAAAAATCACATGTATTAAACTAATAATCTGTTTTAGAATTTCATTCTTCAACTTACGGCCATTTAAGGGACAAATCAATACTCTTAAAAGTGAATAATAAAGCAGATTGTCATAACCACAATTTGCAGTTGAGGCTGAGAGCATCATTACTTATTTTACCGTAAATAACTCTACTCTATAATAAGCTCTGGAGCACTGGTAACTCTCTTGGGCAACAGTACTGGTAGTGACTAGGCACAGAGGCAACACAAACCCCAAGTCTGATAGTAACAGACTTTGCCAATTTGGGACCAGCAAAAATTTCAGTTCTTTATGGCTAACACTGGAGGAAAAATACAGCGATTCAATAAATCATAACTACGTGACTACATGAAAACAGGTGGTCATTTTCGAAATTGGTAAATTTAAATAGGTACACCTATGAGACAAATACACAGAGACACACACATACAAAGTACATGTCAGCAGTTCTTTCTACACATACATATATTCTTATGAACTACTACATTATACAAGTAGCCTTTTCGCCTTTCCCTTTGCTTTCAATGGGTTAAACGGAAAAAAAAAGTGTATCTTTAGCTTAAATAAATATAAACTACTGCACATAGCACTTATTACCATATTAGAACTTGTTACCTTGTTAACGAAAGCTATTTTTAAATACTACCTATTAATGCTAATTAACACAAGAAGTCTTTCCATTTCAAACACATTTAAAATATATTTAGGGAACCCCTCTAAAATTTGAACAGTAGATCTAGCTAACAGAAAAATGTACCGACAATGCATGCATTCACTCTATGTCATTTGGAAAATTTGAACCAAGTTGTGAAAATATATGAAAGCTCCTCAAGGTAGATTCCTGTATTAGCTACTCCATATAAACTCTATTCCACTATGAACAACAATTTTATTCTAAGCTAAGACTATGATATACCTTAATTGATTTGGCAATGTTTTTTCCTTTACTTTTTAAACAACAAATAAAATTAATTCCATTATTTCTCAGAAGCAGGAACAGCCTGCAAAAGAATAAGGGTTTTTTTTTTTGCTTTGTTTCTGTTTATTTCTTTGTTTCTCTTTAAATGATTGGGGGCAGGTGGGGCAAGTCTTTATTAAATAATTCAAGTACAACCAAAAGGAAAATTCCTTTCTACTATACTTCACTAAAAATTAAAATTAAAATTAAAATTTTCTGGTATTTCTAGGCACAAAAGGTAATTTTTTTTTTCTAAGTTAAAACCCCAAGTGTTTTTTGGTATTTTAAATGTCACAGGTGTTTTTACATATATATAAAAAAACAATAAAATCAGCTTAAAATAAATTTATTGTACAATACAAAAAGTAGGCATACTGGAAAATAAAGGTACATTATTAAATATACAAAGCAAATGAAGAAAGCTCAACAACACAAATGTTTTAATCCAAACACTAAGATAAAATGCACAACATTTATGCTAAAAACAAAATATTTTAGGAAGAATATGCATTTCAAATGAAATGTTAATGATGGCAAAAAAAAAAAAACAGGAGAAAAGAAAAGAAAAAAATGTTATCATGTAAATGCTTGAATATCAAGAATCAATAATGGTAGGAAAAATTAAACCCAACAATACTGGATACTTCTCAAAGAACTTTATTTGAAAAGAGATTGAGAATACTGAAGGATTAAGATAAATCCACAAACTGGCAAAGCATTTCTTTCTTTTTTTCCTTTAAAGTCTGCAGACACATTCACAATATCTTACCTCTTCTTACACTAACCCTTCCTGTACAAACTTCTGAATGCTTGTTCTTATCAGCATTCTTTAAACACAGCAGCTGACTTAATCTTACTTCATATTTGAGTGTGCACTCAAGCATTTCCAGAATTATATATAAGAAGTGCCACAAATTAACAAAAGTAAATTTCAAATGTGCACAAACATGCACAACAATATGAGTATTAAATCATTTGAAAGGGAAGCCAACTTCTGAATGAAACAGCAAAATATACATGTAGAAAATGGAGGGGAAAAAAACTAAAATCTTTTTTCCAATTAAGGTGTTCAATTACTGGAATTACAAATGGCCTTGGATGTAATAAAAGACAGGTTCAATGTCCACAGAAGGGGCAGTGTAAGACTTTTGAAGCATCCAGCTAGGAAATGCATCAGAACACTGGAGGAACAGTGTTTAAACTCAGCATGTAATCATTTAAATACAAATTTTAATACTTAGATAAGCCTAAAAGCTTTTAGGTTGCATGCTGCACTTCTGGGGAAAAAAAATCCCTCTTTTCTTAAATATAATAGTTCCCAATCTCAAAATCATCAGAATTTTCCTACACCTTATCTAGTATCTATCAGTCAAGTATTTTTTTCTGCATTGTATTTACTTCTACAGAATCTGTCCTACTGTATATATGTCGTAATTTTAAAAAGGAATAAGGCTTTCATTCTCAACCACTTGCCCCAAATTTACAAGTTGTAAAGTGAATTTGAAAAAATACTTGAAATTGTGAGAAAAAAAGATACATGGATGGATGAAAGAAGAAATGTAAATAAAGCCTACAGAACTTTAATCACTTTGCCAAGATAGATTTTAAAAATAACATAATTGTTTGCAATCAGATTAAATGGAACCTATGGTTCTCTTGAAAACAAGTTTTGATTCTCAATATTGCATTTTTAAAGTAAACAGAAGCATTCAGATTTAACAAGTATTTTAGTTTCATACTTAATACCTTCAGACTAAATTCATTTCATAAGTACTCTAATAAAAGTTCAAAAAGAACAAAATTTGAGATGTCATAATTTATCACAAAAGAAATATTCATTAGCACTTATGAAACAATAAAATTACTAAAAAGCTAACAAAAAAAAAACCAAAATTTACCATTCATACTTAAATACAACAAAAAGTTACATGAATAATATGAAAACACAATCCATTTTGAAGATATTCACTGTCTCTTTCTCTGAGCAGCTAACCATTACAGCTTTCAAACAATAGAACATGCCATTCTCACACATTTGCAACTCTTTGGCTGGACTATTTCAGTGATGTGAAACACTCCTATTACATTGTGATTCTGACAGGACAGAAGAGTTTTAAAACAAAAAACATTTTAAAGTATTTGATAAAATTTAACTGCATTTTAAATATTCAGAGCCAAGCTATTACCATACCTGGCATCTGTGTACACTAAAGCTAATTTTATAATTTATTGCTCTTTTCAATAAAGTAATTTGGGTTACTCTGCCTTTTTAGTTTTGCATTTAGCACGGGTACTTTCTACGGTCATCACCAATATCCTATCAGTTATAAAACTGGAAATGAAAAGACAAATCCAACAATAATTTTCAATTTAATATGTAGGTTTTAGAACTAAGGACAATGTGGTTATGCGGTTATAAAAAATTTTTAAGTAGTTAAGGAAATTCTTTTTGTCATTTTAAAAAATAAAGCAAAATTGCTTCACTTGTAAATGTTCTTTAAAAATTAATTTTTCAAACAAAGATTGCAAGCAAAAAGAAGTTTTTTTTTTTTTTAAAGTTTTATGGCTCCAGTACCCAAGGTTGATAACAATGGAAAACTTGAATAAATACTTAGTTTGAAAAAACAAACAAAAAAGCCAAAAGCCTAAAGATGTTTCCAAGGTTAAGAGAAGAAACAGTGTGCAGCTAGAGCCCATGTCTTTATGTCTTTAGCGTCTCTCCCCCAGACTCTCCATTCTATACACTACAGTTGTAGAGGTGTCCTCACTGGACTCAGGTGACACTTTTTTCCACACTGTGTCTTTTAGAGCAAGTTCTTGCTGGAGACTCTCATAGTCCAATGGTCCAAAGGAATGCTAGTTGTTCAAGCAACATACACAATTTATTAGTGCACTTGAGTGATGAAAGGTCCAAGCTATAAAATGGTATTTTTCAATGAAAGTTATTAAGATCCATTAACATCTTCACCCACCACCATCTGACATCTTGTTACATTTACTTATGCTGACTGGTAGGAAAGATCCTACACCATCAGCTTTTCAAAGTTCTCAGATCTGACTGAAACCAACATAATTTAAGCTGGCACTTATAAAAAAATGTACTCAGTACATACTGATGTTACTACTTGTAAGTGCTTTTCTAGTGTATTAGATAATTTTACTGTCCATATTCTTTTCGTGGGATGCAAAAGAATGGAATGAAACTCAACAGCAAGTCCTTTGGTCCAATGAAAAAAAAAAAAAAAGTCCTGATCGTAACACTATCTCTAAAAAACAAAACAAACAAACAAACAAAAAAACAATGCTTATGCACCACAAGGCCACACACAGTAATAAACAAGACCTTAAGGTATTTAGCATGGAGTACTAGAGTTTTCTTAATATTACCATCAAAATCGTATCAATAAGTTCTGAGAAGAGACTTTTGCCTATAGTGGCCTTTTTTTTTTTTTTAACTTAGTTTCATGTACTTTTCCATTTACATATCCATCCACAAAGAAGAGAATGAGCTAAACTAAATTTCTAACAAAAAATGACAAATATTAGGAATAAAAACAAGGCTTTAAAAACTTAGATTCATAGTATATATCATCTCCCAATATCTTCTTTTAATTTACTCAATTATGAAACAATTACATAAAGCAGCAGAAAACCAGCATTGCTGCTAAGCTAACCATCTGGTTTTAATATAAAAAATGATTTTAATATCTATGTCCTAATAACAATAAAAATGTTAGCAACTTATTTACTTGAAATTGGCAAAGACATGAGACTGTTAAGCTGAAATGTTATGTAAGCAAGAGAGGCTAGGCTACTTTCTCACCTTAGAGGACACTGAGAAGAATCTAAAAAAGAACTGGCTTACCCTTTGATCACCTCCTTCTCTTCGAGGATCAAGTTTTTTTGCAAAGTGTCTCAAATTATCATAGTTATGGAAGTTACACAGAGAAACAAGATCCTGCAAAGAGTTATACAGAACACATATAAGAAATCAGCTATTCACTGACTATTTTTATTTTAACAAATTATGCTTATACTATGCAGCTTCACTGCTACATCAGAGCAACCATCACACAGGCTAGGCCAAAAAGCCAGTGAGTCAGGAAAACTGACACCAGGGTCAGGACTGAAGGCTCAGTCACTTAAATTGTCATTTTCTGTAACAGGGTTTTTAAGAGGTCACATGAAGACAATTTATACCATAAAATTTATCTTTTAATTACAACTTATCCACAAAACAATGCCATTCTTTAGATTTTACAAAAATACTTAACTTTGAAAACAGAATTTCAACTGAGAAGCCCACAAATCATAAGCACTAAACAGGGGCTCTGGGAAGTAATAAATGTAAAAACACAAAAACTGAAACATTAGCAACAATTAGTTGATTACAAAACACTAAGCTAAAAATAAAAGCACACAATTTAAAAACCTTGTCTTCATTTATATTTGCAGGATATAGCTCCTCAAAAACTTTTAAACATAATTAAAATTAAGTATGTTCAACTATGCACATGAAATTTGCTACTATAATCCAGATTGTTAAAAAGATTTGTGTTTAATTCTCTATTGCTGAGTTCTTGAAAACAGAATAAATTGTAATCTGGAAAATGAAAACACTCAGCAGTTGAGAGCAATGGCTGCTCCTTCAGAGAACTCACCACCCACACAGTAGCTCATAACTATCTGTAACTCCAAGGACACCAGTGACAGTACAGATATACATGCAGGCAAAACACTCATATACATAAAATAAAAATTTTTAAATAAATGTAAACATAAAGAAAACAGAATTAAATGGGACTTGTTTGTAGAGGCTATTGATATCTTTTCTACAGCCACCTACAACACCACCTAGTTAGCTAGTCCACAGGTAGAAAAAGTACCAAGGGAGTTAAAAAAACAAAACAAAACAAAACAAAAAACCTACCCAAAATAAGTAAAAGGTGGAAATCACTGGACTGCTTATCTTATATGCCCCTGCCCCCTTTCTCTAAGAAAATCTGCTTACATGACAGAAGTGAATTCCCTTAACACTGTTGCCCATCTTGTCAAGAGGAGGAGACCAGCACATCATGCCCATGACATTGGGGACAACCAAAAGAATACCCCCGGCAACTCCCGATTTTGCAGGAAGACCAACCTGAAAATAATTTATAAAAGGGTATTCATATAAATATTTTAATAAATAAAAACATTATATTTGAGAACTGTTTAACAATTATGACACATATAGAACCAACACTGACAACTTGAGTTTAATCCCTGAGACATTCATAAAAGGAAAAAAGAACTGACTCCTTCAAGCTCTCCTTAGACCTCTATAACCTTTTGCTCTCCCAAATAAATAACAAGCAAGTTCGCAGCCCAATAAGATACTTGCTACATTAAAAGTATTGTATACATATGTATCAATATATTTATAATATAGTAAATGAAGACAAGTTATGAAAGAGCTTGAAATATGGTGGAATACAGGAAAAAATATTTGAAAGACATTCTATAAGTTAAAGTACTTAAGCCTAAACTGTGAGGCTATGAATTTTGTTATTTTACAGAGCTGCATTTTCTAGTTATCCTAAAAAGGCATATTCCTTCTGACTATAATAGTCTTTTCTGAAAAAAAATTCATAACTAAAATAAAGGAATTGTATCTTCACAAGATTTTCTGTATATAGTATATTACCAGAGAAAGAGCTAATGAACTGAGATGTTAATGCAAATTAATCCCCTTCAAAAAATTTATATTTGTATTATGTAAGATATTATTATAATTATGAGAAAGTAGAAAATTAGCATCACCAGGGAAACAGTCATTAATGGATTGCTAAGATTCAAATATTAAGTGCTTGACAGAAATATACAACTGCAGTAATCTTGCAAAAGCTAAACAAAACAAGCCAACAAAATCATTAGATTGGATCTGCCAATTTATAATACAAAGGAAAACAGAACAGATTCAGAGGAAATCTAGTCTGAGAAAATATACAGGTAAATGACTTTTTAAGGAAAAATAACAAGATAAAGAGAGATCATGAAACACAAAAATTTAAAAGAAAAAATAAGCCTCATTTATATTCCAAGTAGAACTATCTAATAATTTATAGAACTGTACAAGTAATCTCAATGATTAAAAAATATTAAAGTTAGTGGTAATGTTAACAGTTTTATTTTATGTACAATAAAGTTTTTATTGTACTATAATGCTGGGTTATATGTTTACAATTACATGCTTTGAGCATAACAAGATAAAAGAAAAAAGCAAGTATGTACACATATGAAACAAGATCGGCCATGTATTCATAAATACCAAAGGTGAATGATGAAAAGCATGAAATCCCTTTCTCTACTGTATTACATTTGAAAACTGCAGGGTCTGTAAAATGGCCTAGTGAAGGAACTAGACACTAATTATGATGGCCTGAGTTCAATCCTTGGAACTAATGCACAGGCACGAATACATACACAGTCAGTCAAGACAGACAGACAAGACAGACACACACATACACACACACGACACAGACAGACACAAACAGATAAAAACACACACATGACACAAACATACAGATAGACACAAAAGACAATTTTTTAAAAAAGAAAACAAATTACAAAAATAATTTTTGGAAGGGTATTATAATGTTATGTAACATAAATAGGATCTAATTAGAAATGGCTATATACTTCACGAGTGCCAAATGTATAAAGCTTAAAAAACATTTTAAACTTTTATTTTTATATACTCTTAAGCCCTTTTTCTTTTTTTTTTAAATTTATTTTTTTATTCACTTTACGTCCTGATAGTAGTCTCCTCCCTCTTCTGCTACTGGTCCTACCTCCCTCCATCTTCCCCCATTCCCTCCTCCCATAGTCCTCAGAAAAGAGGAACATTTCTACTAACCCATCCTGGCTCAACAAATTGCATCAAGACTGAGGTGCATCCTCTTTCTCTGTGACCTGGCCGGGGTAAGCGATCAAAAGGCAGGCGACAAGAGTCCATGTCAGAGACAGCCCCTACTCCACTTGCTAGGAATATCTATGGCCGTTAGCAAACACTCAAGCCTTGCATGTGCGTTTTCTAAGAATTTGAGGTACAATCAGCACAATAGCAAGCATTAGCAATTAAATACATAGAAAGTCTGGATTAACCTTGTGTCATGAATTCAGAACAGAAGTGGTGAGATTTCATACACTGAAAGTGACTGAATTTTTAAGGGCATCTCTCCTACTGTTTAACTCTACTCCTTACTCACCTGTGACCAATTAAGCACAAAATTAAGCCTCTCTCCTAAAACAGTATTCAGTTTTTGAAGCAAAGTTCAAATTTTGAAATTTTCAAATTTTGAAAAGTACCAGTCTATGAACCAGTTCCTTTCAAGAGAAAGTTAATCAGCCATTACTTACATGGAACGCAAACTGCCCTGAGAAATCATACATGCCACAAGAATGCATCAGACTCAGCGTGTTTCGAACTGCCTCAGGACTGAGTACTCTTTCACCAGTAATGGGGCAGAAACCACCATTTGCCAAAGTTGCAGCCATCACACTTGCTGATTCACATGTCACTTCAATGGAGCACAGCTAAAACAAAGAAAAAACTGAGCCATCAATTTGACATGGCATTTTCATATCTCAGTTGCCTTCTATGACAATCTATTTTATCTGATACCTCCTACAAGTCTGAAATATTTCTTCTAATGGGGTGATTTTACTCTAAACTTGACATTTCTCAGAATTCAATTGACCAAAGTTCTAATCATTTTAAGATTTATTCAGATTTCTTTAAATTTATATTTTGATGACTGAACTAGGTGAGAAAGAGCCAAGCTAGGCCCAGAAGTATTCAAACTTGTTTAAATATTAATGTTTTCTACCTATTATACATTACTATTAATGTTAACAGCAAGAAATAAGCCCTAATACCTTTTAAGATAAAGCAACACAGATCAACATTGTGATACTGTCAGCACAAAAAAATGACCACTAAGCATGCGTTGGGGAGGGGGATATGATGATGATAAAACAATTGACATTTCACCTATAGATTAGCATTCCAATTTACAGAGCAACAAACAAAGAAATATTTAAGACAGTCCTGGGAGCACTGAATCTATACAATGCTACCTTTTAAAGCAACTGTCAAGATATATTTGTTATTTACTGTGGACAGCAGATATACCATAACAAAAAAGAGCAAGCATAGCTAGAATGAAATTTTTCCATGTAAATTTCATCAAGATACCAAAAATAAAAACCAAAGGTGTGTTTAGTGGTAGCACACTTGTCTTTCATGTTAACAAAGGCCTGAGTTTGATTCCCAGCATTGAAATATAACATCAATAGCAATAGCAATTTAACTCACAAAAACCCAAATTTACCCTTAAAACTAAAATAATATTTCTCCACATTTTATTTTTAACTAACAGCAACAAAACCTGGAAGAAAGGGGAAAAGACTGGTTTTCCTAACCACATAAACAAGTTGTTACAGTGGCCCAGAGCAGAGATTTACTAGGAAAATGTTTTCTAAAAGAAGACATGTTTAGCAAGGTACGGTCAGACACACAGTTAACCCCAGCACTGAAAAGAATGTGAGTTGGAGGCCAGCATGGTCGTACATATAGTAAGTTCCAGGCTGGCCAGATGCCATCTCAAAAGAGAGAAGGGGGAAATTTAAATTCCTACTATCATTGCCTAAGTAGGGAGATATTTTTAAAAGTAAAATAAAATTTAAATTTCCTTAATCATTTCCTAATTCATACTTAGTATTACTCTAATTTTGCTTGTCATAAAATAACAGTCCCCTAACTGGACAAATTCCAATTTAAAAATGATTTCCAGACGGCCTGATGTTTACTCAGTTAAATTCAGTTCTCCATGGGATAAACACCTCTATGGCTATCTCTTGATTTCAGTACTAAAGATTGGAGATTCTACAATAGATTAGTAGCACTATTCAAACTATAATAACCAAAATTAAATGGGTTTTATTGCCAAAACACAGTAATTTCAAGTGACAGCTTAGGAGTTAAAACACATTCCATCCTACGTTCTGTGTTGTACTTCTGATAAATGAAATAGGGCTCAGTACCCAAGTAGGTCATCACTGAATTAATTTTATATGGATAAAATGGATTATCAATAGAGCTTTCACATTGAATAAATGAAAATCTGGGACCAGTACTTCCATCAAACTTCATTACTAAACTCCCTTAAACACCTTATAAAAATACAGTTAGGTTAAAAAAAATCAAAGCATCTTCATAAGTAAGGACAAACACAAAGTAAACTAAAAATTTTTAAGTGTAGTCTTCACATCTTGACATTACAGTTGATTAGATGAAAGTACATATGGAATAGAGAGATTTTCAAAAATGCTGTACTAAACTGATGTCTGTACCATATGAAATAGTGTGTGGGATGCTCTCCAACATAACATGAATATGCAGAACCATCTTAACTTACAGGCACACACACAACGTGACAATGAAGGCATGTGCTGAACAATTCTCAGTGCCAATCGCCAATCAACTCAGGATCAAAAAGACAGAGAAGATAGCAAGAAAGCAGAAAAGAATGACACTTCAGAATGCTGACAGAAGCCCTCTGAAAAATAGTTTTTCGTAGGTAAAACTACACACAGAACAGGAGAAACGAGATTTTGAAACTATGTTTATCTAAATGTATTTTTATACTGTTCCCCTTATTCCATTCTGATGTGTGGGTTCTTAGAACATATGGACATGAAGCCGCCTTTCTTGACATCTTTTGAAAGTCAGCTGAAATTTATTTTCTCATGGCCCAGGGTCAGGATTTCTAAAACATCTATAGTTTGTAAAATGTAATATATCTATGTATTTATAAAGATTTATACAATTAAGACGAAAAATTACCTGGAAATAAAAATCTAGTATCCCAACCATGTCTGTGCCTTCTGGAAAACACTGGAAAACAGCAAAATGCAGAAAAACAATGAAACTTGGGCAAACAAACGAAATAGCGCACACTAAAATATATCAGCATTAAGTTTAAGGCATATAAAATGTTTCCACTTTGATATCAAAATAGTATGGAGTTCATGGTTGAATATAAATATAAAGTTATATCATATTATATAAATCCCCAAATTTTATTAAGAGACAAAGATTAAGTAATTTGTAATTTATAATCAGTGAGTCATATCTTAAAGTTCTTAAAAAAAATGATTTATCAACACTAGTCAGATACTGCACTTAAAAAAAAAAGAAACTTCAACCTGAATTTGCACTAATATAGTCAAATATTTGAATATTAGCAAATACATTAAATCAGTTTAATATTAACATAAGTAACTTTTAGCACTAACTCATGAGTGCTTTTTAAAAACTTTTCACTTTAAATAATTAAAAACTATTGCTGAGATCTTAGATTTCATTTTATTAAACAAAAATAACTTTGAATAGAAACAAGAATTTAAAAACCTTCTTTTCTTTTAAGTAATATCCTATTGCAAAATTTCGATCTCCACTTTCTCGTTCAGACTGAAACCTAAAAAAAAAACAAAACAACAAAAACTTAACTTTATGATTGTTCTTGAATTGCATAGCAAAACAAATATACAGATCTAACACTCAGGACTGATGGATTTTGTCTTAGTTCTCGCAACGGAACAGTTCCATTCCCTAGTGCTATGAAAGCACTGAAATGAACTCAGATCCTTTCTAAACTTCATACATTCTAAACAAAGAAACTAATTTTAAAATGCCAAAATATGCCATTACTAAAATAAACTGAAACAGCTTGTCAAACTGCCTTGGAGAATCAAAAAAGTACTTTAAACGAAAGAACTGATGAAGAGCAGTCGCAGTCACAGATCTTACCCATAAGCCATCTCATCTCCCTGCTTTCTTTTTCCCTTCACTAGGGAATCGATGAAGGCCTCAGGCATTTTAGGCAAGGGGGACTACCAATGAGCTATTTCCCCAGCCCTACTTTTACTTATTTTGAGACAATTTTGCTAAGTTATCCAGGCAAGCCTTAAGACCATTCTGCAGTGAAGACAGGGCTAAAACTTAGCAATTCTGCAGCTTAGCTAGGGTTTGCCTGTGTCACTAGGCGAAGTTTGTTATGCCTTAAAAAAACAAAACAAACAACAACAACAACAAAAAAAACCCTTAACTTATTGAAAGAACAAAAATAAATAAACAAAATAAAACTCCTTAGGAGATTCCCAGAAAGCTTCCTGGGAAAAGCTGTTAAGCAAGCTGAGGCAGCAGCACCTCTGGTCCTTCCAAGTGAAAAAAAAAAAAAAAAAAAAAATCTGTCTGTCCCTGTCCTATAAAAGCCCGACTTTCAAAAATAATAAACAAAATAAATAAACAAAAATACAATCCCCAAAGAAGAAAAATTTAAGCACAAGGGTCTAGAAATTAAACTGTTCTGCTTCAGAAACTAAACAGAGTAACAACTACACAAATTTGATTAGCTCCTGAATTATGAATAATAAATAACATTTAGACATTTATTTAGCATTAACACCATTTCATAAAATCATGAATGTTCTGTTCTTGCATGTATTGTCAGTAATAAGGTGGCACAGTGTTAAGACCATTTACTGCATTTGCAGAGGAGCAGAGCTTGGCTTCTGCAGGTGGCTCACATAACCCTATCTCCAACTCCAGGGGATTTAATGCCCTCTTCTGGCTTCCACAGGCAGCCCAACACAGACATACAGATACCTTTAAAAAAATCTTACACATACATACACACTCTTATATGTACATATGCTTATTCTTGGAATATATGCAGGGTGATTTAAAGGAAATATAAATAACCTATATAGCATGATTTAAAATGATTCAGCAAAGAAAAATCTGTACACATCTCTGTTTACAAACATCTGTATGCAAACAAATGTGTGCAAAGTTCCCTCTTTTCCTCCTCTTCCCTCCCTCTCTCAAAAGGGAACAGGCTAGGGAGATGGCTCACTCGGTAAAGCACTGGCATTTAAGCCCAAAGATCTGAGATCAAATTCTCAGAAGCCAACTAAAAAGCTAGGCATGGTAGTACATGCTGGAGGTGCAGAGACAGGGAGATTCCTAAAACTCTCTGGCTGGTCAGCTAACATAGCCAAATGAGAAGTTTCTAATTCATTGAGAGATCCCGTCTCAAAGAAATAATACATGTGGAGAGCAACCGAGGAAATAGTCTCTGACTACCACACATGTGCAAATGTAATTTCATACCCATACATACACACAAAACACACACATATCTACGATCACACACAAACTAAGATCTTTGAAAATGAAAAGAACAGACAAGACAAAACATTCTTAAATATGATTAAAAGACAGATACCCTTGGCTCACTCTTTCAACTTTTCTACAGACTGAAAGTTTCAAGATAAAATTTGGGGTGGGGGAAATAAACCTGTTAGCCAGGCATAGAGAAATAAAGTAAGTTAGGTATTATAGCCAAAAAGAAATTTACAAGCCCAATTATTTGGATAAACTTGAGGTCCCTTCTGACTCTACAATTATTTATACGCCACTTATTAAAACATGTTTAAATGTTTCAGGTAATTTAGACCTGATTAATTTCCCTCTAATGACCAAATTCTAAGAAATTACCTATTCACCGAAATAAGTTCTAGGACCATAAGTAGAGACTGTGTGCATGTTTGTGTGTGTGTATCTGAGTATGTGTATACATTAGAAAACTACTGAAAATAAAATCTTATAGTCTAACTGTCAGGTGAATTTAGAAGTCTGATCAACTGTAAAAACCCGTCACAAATTAGACTCACGTTGCATTACTGAATCCAACATATTCATTACCAGCCATCTTATTCAAAAATTGCATCACCTACAAACCAAAATAGGAAGTATTAGTAACCAAAACTAAACACCTGAGGAACATAAGCATAAACATAATTTGGTGTTATACTTACATAGTCAAACTTCTCAGCATTATTTACTCCTTGCTGAAAAGAAATGAAAGGCAGGAATGTTAATACAGATACTACTGAGGTTAAGAACGAAGCTAATACAATACAAACTTCAAACCACTACCATTGTAATCAATGCACTGCTCAGTACTTTTACTAGGAAATCCTTCTAAAGTAACTTAACATTTAAACTTTTATACATGTCAACATCTATATGTTGAAAAAAATAAAAAAATTACAAAGGGAATATATATTTTAAGAATATATTTACTAATCCCAGAGTTAGAGACTACAAGTTACCCTGGAACGCCTTATCTTTCAAAACAACCTGATTTGCTAAAATGTTAATTTCAGTTTCAAAAATTGTTAAAAGTCCGCCCTTAAAACATTATTAAGAATATATAAAGCATGATTTTCTATTAAGAACAATGTATTTTTAAAAAGTAAACTCTTTAACCAGTATTGAGTTAGAAAACTGAGTTGTTACAAAACTGATCTTTTCTAATTCTAACATATGCAAATGCTGGCTATATTAGCATGGACAACATTCTAGCGTCAGTAACTCTTTAACAATACTTGAGCTAAAAAAAATTTACTTCATAGTTCTAAAAAGTTATCTTTAATTATGTTTAACATTATGCCAATTCAGAATGTGGAAGATGTATTGTTTCATTAATTCTAGTTCTGACATGTTATCTACCACAAATGTAATTAGAAAAACGCCTGTGTAATGTAGATCAGTTCAAGTAGCCAAATGGTTTCATTTTACCTCGACGAAGTTTACAAAGCAGTAAGCTGTAGATCTGAAATCAAACGTATTAATTGGTGATGTGCACCCAATAGAAACAATACATCTCTAATTTCTAAAACAGGATTCAAATAAATAATTTGACAACCATTTTAAGAAGAAATTTGTTAAGAATCTACCCTCAAAGTTCCAAAGCATTATAATTTGGAATGTTGTTACGGGGAGTCTGTTCCAGAGTGTCATCTACTGAATAAAGCCAGGTCCATTCTCCCTATGAAAAGGTCAAGTTATTACTGACAATATATAAAACCCCACAAATCAAGTTATTTAAGAAAGTACAACCACAGATGCATGACCAGCAATGGGAAGGAACACCAAAGTATGTCATCAAAGTCAGACATTAACAAAACTTAAACAATGTTAAGAGTTAACTTAATGACTAGACTATAATCCCTATGTGTGTATTTTCTCTAAATCATCCTGACATTTTAGAACTTTCATATATTTTACCAGAATAAAAATGTAGACATGTAACTCCAAAACTGTTCAATGAAAAATAATTAAAAGAAAAAATTACCAACTTCATTGAACTGTTGCAGTTGTCAAAATATTCCATAGATCCTAATGCTGTAAAATATGTAACAACATTTAAGCCACAAAAAAACCTTTTTAATCTTAGAAAAAAACACAACTTTTGGAAAAGGATGTCAGCATTTATACTGTGATATCACATGGATAATCACTGGTTACACAACTCATCAATATAAAATAAACAAGTAACACTAGACTTTCATTCTCTGACCTAAGATGTATCCTGTAAAATTAATACAAGTTTTCATTGTTGAATTATCAAGTTTAATATAAAAAAAAACATTTTAAATCTAAACTTGGTCACATACTCAGTCTATCTTATGGCTTATAAAATAAAATTTTACTTTTACATTGTTTTTAACAAAACAGCTTATCTTTATATTATGTATTGAATTATCTATTATTAAATATTTTCAATAAGCACCTGAAATGCCCTAAGCAGATTTATGTAAGTGGGAAAAAAGAAAAACTGAATGATCGTGTGAACTAAAGAGTTTCTCTTTCCCATTTAAATGTAAAAGCATTTGATTAAATTTTGTTTTTAGTATCTACTCTGAAAATGGTGCTTAACTTAAATCTTCACAAAGGTATGAGTTGCCCCCATGCCTCTTTCAGGTAACAGATCAGATAAATGGGATCTAACTTTAATTTTAATTTTGAAATGTCACAGTAAAAAGCTTTTGTGCGAAGATCTTAGGAGAAAAACAAATACACACTTACAAAATGTAAATGTGCTCTGCCAAATTAAAGAAAAACGGAAAAAAATAAGATCAATGTGCTATGGCATAGGAAGCTGAGAGGGGTGAAAGAACAGACATTACAATAACTGAAGCAGGGAATAGGTAAACGGGGCTGATTATTCTATTTTATCTTGTTCATGATTTAATTTTCATAGTAAAATGTTTTAAAAATGTTGATTTGCTGATCATCTTACACACTAATTAATCTGATTATCTTTTACCACATTTTCGTTGGTCTTCAAAACCATAACATATCTTTTAAGTTCATATGCCAACTGACACTTTCTACTGACTGAACATGGAAGAATTCTCACCCTACAGTTTATACAAACATTAAGAAATTTTGCTCATAGTCAATGAACAGACTGATACAGAACAATTTGTTACAGCCACAGTACTCAGTCCTTTACATACCTGGACTTTATCACATACTAATCAACATTGTACTTAGGCTGACTGAACCTGTTTAAGCCTCATTTCAATTTTGTTGAACCAAAGAAAGAGAAACAACCTAGAATACTGTTATTGGTTATAACAAATTTAGAACCAGGCATTACTTGATTCACAGGCTCAATACCACTAGCTTCAGTTCGTTTACCCTAGAGTAGTGAACCATAATAAAATTTGGAACACAAGATGGCCTCTTTTTCAGGAAAATGGAAACTACCTAAACTCAAAAGCAAACGATTCTCAGAAAGGCACATAGAAAATACATATGGAAAGTAATGTTCTTAGACTACCAGTGCTCCTGCCCCTTAATCCTTCATTACCAGGGGAGATATGTTTATTCCAGCATGGAGGTCATAGAACAAGCACTGTTACATACTGTGTTATTTTAATTCTGAAAAGGTTCACAGTAATTTGTAGTAAATATAATTGGAAGAGTTTTTGAGAAATTAAAACTGGGTAAAATGTATTTTAAAATTCTAATGGAGTTACTAAATGATTTTTAAAAGCAAATCATGTGGTCTGTTTGAGAAGAGTAAAAAGATTAACAGAAAATTATATAAATTTATCTTCTACAAACATGCTTAATTAAACTATGGAATTTACATCTCTGGAAGACAAAAGTAAGTGAACACTTAATAGAGGTGACAGAGCTTTAACTGTTTATTAATGCATGTGCCAGGGAGGTGGCTCAGGGTACAAAGCTTGCCTAGCATTCACAGAGCCTATATTTGATAGCCAGCATGAGAAAACATAACATAACTATGTCAGAGTATTTTATGTCTGGTTTTATAAAATATTCATGAATAAATTCACATGTGTAGCAAATATACTTGGCAACACTAAAATATGTTTCATTAAACAGCCAATGTTAATTAGGTACTATGAAATGTACTATAGTCATAAAGAGTGGGCATGCAATTTAATTAAATATTAAAGATCGCAGAAAAGGCGAAAGAAAATTTATAAAATAGTCTTGCCATACAAAAAAACTTCTGAAAGTAATGTTTATTACTAACCTACAAATTAGTATTACAAGTAAAAAAATACTGTTTTAGACCTGGGTTCCAGGGCCTTTGAGATAGGGCCCTACTATTAGGTATGGCTGGCCTAGCACTCATAATGCATACATGACTGACATCAAACTCAGCCTCTGCGTCAGAACACTGGGATAAAGACATGAACCTTGCTAGATCTACTATTTTTACAGATTATTTCTAAAATATAAAGGAACAGAGTAATTAACTTAGTTGGGAAAAAAATCTACCTTCAATTAAAAGAAAAAACAAAAAGAAATGCCTTAAATGTGTCAAGTTTATAACAGTAAATTTACAAATTTGCAGTGCTATATTTACAGCACTAAACTCCAGTGCCCTAAATGTACCAAGCCCAGGGCACCACATAGTACTGCTATGAGTGACAGACCATCTCAGAATGTGAGCTTTACTAAGAACTCTGGCAGATTATGGCTAATATGACAAATGGAGAATACCATATAGAGCATTTAAAGTTGTCTTGAGTTTTTATGAACAATTTAAAATTTTTAATTTTTAATTAAAAAATGACCACTTCCTAAAACGGGAAAAACACCCCCACACAACCAAACTTTAATAAAACTTAGAAACAACTACTACAATAGGCATAAATATAAAGTCATGTAGCTTACTATATTTCTAAAATTAAAAAATACAATACTGACAATCATTCTGTAATGTTGCCCTTAGTTTCCCAGCCCAATAAACAAGGCTTCAGACTTTTATGCTAAAACTAGGTTTTTTATCACTAAAAAGCAAAACATATGAAATATGCTTTTCCACCTAAACACAACTATTCCTCTTCTTTTTATTCTTTTCTTTAAACCAAACAATCACATATTATCATCATGAAATAAAACACAAAGAACGCAACCAAAATTATTTCCTTAAAAGTTGGTAGCTGCCAGAGGAAAGAGCGAGTAAGAACAGTAACCCTTGTCTTTTAATTATGTCATTGTAAGTGTAAAATTACATTTGTCTTTAAAAAGGTATTTACCTATATAGCTTTGTTTAAAATTTTAAATATTGGAGTTTTCCTATAATCTTAGTGGTTAAGAATTAATGCAACAGGTTCCTTCTGTCCAAATCCTCCTTTTTCCACAATCTGCTAATCCTTTTGAACATTTGCTCTGCCTCTTCCCCCATTTCCTGAGGATCACCTCCAATCCTACAAGGAAAAAATATCAATACTACAAAATTATGAAATAAAGAGTCTTACTAAAGACTCTACTTTTTTATTTTCTTTTGGAGGGGTGTAACATGAGATTTGTTGCAATGGCACCATAACAAAGGCCTGAACTTTGAATGGAAAAAAACAAACCACAACTAAACAGTCTTAAAAAGAGCTAAACACATGGCTATATCAGGCAGCCATGGTAACATGACTGTGCTTTAGACACTCAAGTTTAAGGTCCTTGGAGCCTGTTTGCTTCCAGAGAGCAGGCACCAACTAGTCTCTAAGTAATAACTACATATACCCATTTAAAATACTGATGCAGTTTTTAGCCAATAAATCACTATCTTTTGTACAAGTTAAAATAGCACAGTATTTCTGCTTTTATAACTGCTAAAGTCAAAGATACCATTAAATGAAATAGCAATCATCCATGTTAATATAGGACACTAAATTCTAGTAAATGACAAAACAAGACTCTACTGCTGACACAACCCAGCCAGCATCCATTCCCTATACATAAGACGACTGGGCTCATTGGCTACGGTTATTACCTCAACTGCAAACACTACCAATTTATAAATGTATACGACCACACAAACAGAGGCTGCATATAGATACTTAAGGAATCTAAATTCTTTCTTTAAAAGAGCCTAAGGAATGTTTTCTTTATCAGGACAGTTTTAAGCTCCTTTTAAGATTTGCATTCATTTCAGTTTAAAAAAAAAAAAAAAACACCACTTGTGAAACACAGACTGAAAGCAGAGACTCAAAGATAATGAGCTTAAATATGAATTTCCAAGTTTGCTGGCATATTTAAATTTACAATTTAAAACTGATTAAATTCACAAATACAAGATGATTTTTCTGTACTATGGGGCACTGAACTGCATTTACTCTGTCAGTTTTTTTATTGTTGCTATTACACTAATGTAGATCAATGTGGTTTATGACATATGACTGACCATGATAAGTGAAACTACTGAAATGGTGGTGTAGTATGACCAGACATGCAACTCCAGCATGCAGCATGTTAGTGTATTTGTCTGAGTTCATGAATCATTAAACAAAAGGATTTTAACTGCATGCAGTTAAGGAGGTATTCTGTAAATCATTTACATATGCCCGCTAAAGAGAACCCTACTAGTTTGCTATGTTAATCTTCTCCACACACCCCCCTTTGTGACAGTATATTACTTCCTGTAGCAAGGTCTCTCATCAAGTCTCACAGTCTACTCTAGGTCACTATGTAGCTGAGAAACCTTGAACTTCTGACAGCCCTCCACTGCAGTACTTTTGAAGCCAGAATCCATGAATCATCTTCAAGAGGGCTAACGAACCCACTAAAATATATCTAAAATCATGGAATCTGAGCATTTTGTGATGGCCAAAAATGGTTTAGAGCCATCATAGTGTTTTGAAAACTAAGCACTGAGATTGTAGATTAACATTCCTTAGTTCTAATTTATTAATTGCTCAACTCTGAATTGTTAATGAGACTTTTCTTTCATCCTAACAGTTACTGTGTTCAATGATAAAGGCCCATTTATCTATGTACATTTTGTACTTAAGACACCTAAAGGCGGAGAGCTGTGTCTTATATATAACTTGCATTGCTACTTTAGACAATAATTTTTCACCTCAGGATAACTAGATATCATAAACTTACTAAAAACTACTTATATTTAAAAATTTTGGCTATAAAATCTAGTTTTTTAAGATTTTAAAAATTCACTCTTATAAATTAATTAAAAATTACCTGCTTATATATCATTACCTAAAATAACCATCTAGTCTTACGATGGTAGTTTTTTGCTTTAAAACTCATTGACAATTAAGACAGGACTTCTAGGATAGCAATCAGATGAACTCTTTGTAACTGGGCTAAGCCTCTAGTTTACCCTTCAGGATTCTGAGTACTCCATCTACAGTAGTGGATATACAAGTCCATGAGTTATGTTTTATTCTAACCTGGAATAGACAGGCACAAATTTACTGCGGAATAAGTGTCCGAAACACAAAATTTTTCTTAAAAGTAACACAACTAGAAAATTTAAAATGAAAAAAAAAAAAGGGGGGGGGACATCTGAAATTGTGTGATAAATATAAAAATATCACAACAGAACCATTTTGAAATACTTATTTCAAAACTTTAGCTTCCAATTATTAAGGCAATACAAACACCAACATAAATAAGTCAACATACAATATAAACTTCAAAACTTAAGTATTGTAATAATTGGAAGAAGCCTTACTTCCTTTTACTTATGGCATGATATAAGTAAAACAAATGAAACAAATTTAAATGAGAATTATGATCCCAGATTATGAGGATAGAAACAATGTGTTGTTTTTAGTATGTTTTGTCTTAAACTTAAATTTGAACATTTGTACCTACTTTTATTAATAAAAATATTATACAGTAAAATAATTTCCTTCTAGAAGCAAATATAAAATTATTTAAAACGTTTTAGAAACACCTTAACTCCTACTGATCTGTAAAGTTCTTAAATTGTGCCAAAGCTTTACATCTAGAAGTTAACAAATGGGATTCATGGTAAGTCATATGCTTTTCATTTTGTCCTTGAAATGGTATCACAGGGGGAGGGATGTTGGATAAATAAAAATCCTAACCCAACACAACAAGACTATTAATTCCAAGAGAAAACTTATCATAATCCTACATAGACAATTCAAAATACATGTTTACTCCTTAGTTATTAAAAATGTTACTAGGTTAAAAGGAAATGTCAACATTTTACCTTTATTAGTGAAGTCACAACAATTGCTCCAGCATTTACCATAGGATTATGTGGTTTATCTGTAAAATATAATGGACAGCAATTTTTCAAATACTTGGTAGCACTTCCTTGGATGCATATATACAGTTCTGCAAGAACTGTTTGGGGTAAGGTACATATCAAAGCAGTTGTTCATGTCTAGGATTCTGCCAATAATCGTATAGTAAAACAAGAATTCACACAACATTCTGTAAAAAGTAAAGTTAAAAGCGCATCCAAATTCTGTAATCCTGCCATTTCACTCTCAACCTTTCCATATGTAAACAGGGACTAAATCTCCACCTCAGAGTTATAATGACTGAATATCTCAGTTACTATGATTAAAGCTCACAAAATGCATACAACTGCCAAACACCTACTAAGTACTTGAGTAATATAACTATATTAAGAATAAGCTTTGAAAAAGCCCATCTGGTATGATTCAATTTTACTTATCAAAAACATTCCTGTACTTATGCAAATGTGTATGCATGTGTATACATACATGTGTATACATATATGTGTATACAGACACTTAAGAACAAAATTCAAACACTAGTGATGTGCCTAAAATAGTAAGATTATAGAAAATTTAAATTGTAGTCTCTATACTTTCAACACTTCTTGACAGTAAAGGATACACTTCTTATAAATTTTTTGAAAGTTTTTTAAAAATTGTATGTTTCTGCCTGCACGCATGTATGTGCATCAAATGCATACCTGGATCTGAAGAGGCCAGAAAAGGCTATCTGAGCCCCTGGAGCTGGAGTTAAAGACAGCCCTGTATGGGTGCTAGAAACCGAACCTGGGTCCTCTGCAAGAGCAGCATGTGTTCCTAACCACTGGGCCATCTCTCTTTGTACCCCTCCTCTCAATAAAAACTGGGGGTGAGGGCACTGGAGAAGTTACTTAAACTTTTATGTTCACCCACAATCTTAAAATTCTTAAATAGAAATTTAAAAGCTTAACTTACTACATTTTCACTGAATAGCAAATTATGAACATAAAACTCTTGGGTGCAGTAGAAACACCTGTTTAAAAACTTATTTACAGCAAGGGATGGTAGTGCATTTTTCTAATCCCAGCACTCAGGATAGGGAATTCAAGGCTAGCCTGAGCTACATGAACTCCTGCCTCAAAACAAACTTCTATTAGTGACTTATCCTAACAGATAAGCTTACTGAACCTGACAATCCCAGCACACACATTAACCTGTACTATGTTACTAGTCTTCTTGAATTTAGCAAGCTACACTCTACAAGACAAGCCTCTAGCTCAACTGAGCTGTGAAAAAGCAAACAGCTCTTCAAAGCATTAAACAAAGTCACCAAAGGACCCAGCCATTCCTCTCAGCTATGCAACCATGAGAAGCAAGTCCAATGCCTCATCAGCTGTAAGGTAGGTAAACAAACCGGTAGTATTCATGATGAAATATTACTAAAAGGAATAAAACTAAAATTTGCATGAACCTTAAACATATTAAGCTACGCATAGTCAAAAGAACAAATATTAAGTCATTCCATTTATCTAAAGTTTCTCAAATTACTCTAGAGACAAAAAGTAGATTGTTAAGATTATAAAGCTAAAAGAAAACACGGAATAATCAATAATGAATATGGAATTTGTTTTGCAGCTGGTCAAAGTATTCCGAATTTGACTGAGTGCGATTTTGAAACCCCACAAATATAGTCAAAGCTACTGCATTACATACTTCCCACAGGTGTGGACATCCCCAACCCGAGCTTCAAGCAGTGCACTTTCAATGACTACTCTGTTAATTAGGACTTGTATCATTAAAGATAAAAAAATGTCAGCTTCTTTATCATCTGAAAACATGTAAGTCAGCAAAGTACTGGACTTCAGTTTGTTGTCACCACACACAGGTGGTGACATATACTCCGCTCATATGCGTCCTTCCCACTTGTTCCCCACCACCACCATAGCCCTTTACTGATATTTAAAGACATATCCCACTCTCACTCCCTCCCTTCTCCCCCTATGCTCTTTCCCTAGTCCACTGAGCTTATTATTATAATATATTGTTATTAACCATTATATTTTTTATCCAGTAGATTTTTTATATATTTTTTATCCAGTAGGGCTGGCTGCATAATCTTCCTCTGTGGCCTGACAAGACTTCATCCCCCAGGGAGAGGTAATCAAAGAGCCAGCCACCAAGTTTATATCAGAGACAGGCCCTGCTCTCCTTACTAGAGAACCCACTTGGAAACTGAGCAGCCTATTGGCTTCCTCTGAGCAGGGGGTCTAGGTCCTCTCCATGAATGTCTCTTGGTTGGAATATTGGTCTCTACAGGTACCCCTGGGCCCAGGTTTTTTGGCTGTTGGTCTCCTTAGGGAGCTCCTGTCCCCTCCAGGTCTTTCTATCTCCCCCTTTTCCATAAGATTCCTAGCACTCTGTGCAAAGTTTGGCTATGAGTCCACATCTGCTTCCATACCATGCTGGGTAGAGTCTTTCAGAGGACCCCTGTGGAAGGCTCCTGTCCTATGCCCTGTCTTCTACTTCCAATGACTATTCCGTTTGCCCTTCTGAATGAGGTTACAGCCTCTTCCCTAGGGTCCTCCTTGTTGTTTAGCTATTTTAGGATGATATATTTTTGTATGCTTATTTTCTATTATATGCCTAATATCCACCTATGGAAAAAAGACAGCATCTTCAACATATGGAGCTGGTCTACCTGGATGTCCACATGTAGAAAAATGCAAATTTGTCACCATGAACTAAGGTAAAGTCCAAGTGGATCAAAGACCTCAACATAAAATCAGACACACTAAATATGTTTGAAGAAAAAGTGGGGAAGAGCCTTGACCTCATTGGCACAGGAGACAATTTCCTTAACAGAATATCAACAGCAGTAACAACAATCAATAAATGGAACCTCATGAAATTGAAAAGCTTCTGTAAAGCAAAAGACACTGTCGTCAGAACAAAATGACAGCTTACAGACTGAGAAAAGATCTTCACCAATCCTACATCTGACAGAGGGCTAATATCCAGACTATATAAAGAACTCAAAAGTTAAACACCAACAAACCAAGTAACCCAATTAAAAAATGTACATTTTTGATCCAGCAATCCATTCTGAGCAAATTTAGGCAAAGGAAACAATAACTTTGTACTGGAGGTATAATTCTTCTGTGTTCACTTTATCATTTATTCACCAGAGCTAAGAGATGAGATTATTATGTATCTATCAGTGAATGAATGAATGAATATAATAAAGGAATATTAGTAAGAAAATATCATTTACAGTAACACAGATAAACCCAGAGGACATTAACCAGGTATAGGAAAACTTATGTTACATGATCTTTATGGGGAATCTAAAAAATGTGGAACTTATATGAACAGAAAATAGTTGCTACCATGGCTGTAGGGGTGGAAGAGAAATACGGAAATATTGATCAATGAACAAAATTTTAATATATGAGAGCAAGCCCAAATTATCTACTGGATAAAAAATATAATGGTTAATAACAATATATTATAATAATAAGCTTCAAAACTGCTAAAGAAACAATTCTGTGTTCATGCCACAAATAAAGTCTATGAGACAATTCATGACAGTTTGATTCATCCTTCTATGGTGCAAAGCACATTTTGTGTGCTCCATCAATACTAACAATGTTAATTAAAAATAAGAAAAACTAAATAAAGACTAGCTCTAAATGCTAAAAGTCTATTTTTAAAATCTAAATACTGTAATGTAATTAAGATTTTACTTTCCCCAAATGCTTTCCTTGAGAATATATATTGTCAGAAAAATACTATAATGTACGTACGTATGTGAGTCAAGAGAAAAATCAGGAAAGCAAAATACTTCCAAATATTATCGACCTAAACAAAGTCCTAAGCGAAGTAAATGTAGAATACAGAATATAATCATGACATTACTCTATACATGGACTTATATAAAAACTTGTTAATCTATTATTTCAGATTTCTTTTGTTTTGTTTTGTACATTATCAGGGTTAAATCCCTGGGACTAGAAGGCAGCTAATGTGTATATATCCATATACATTCAAGCGTTTGATAAAATTATCTGGGCATGATAAGTACTAAGCAACGCCATATAAAATGCATTCAAGACTTTTTCAAACAACAACAACAAATTACTTCATGGCATGTAATACTCCTTACTGTATACCTTGATTAAAAGCCAAGGATCTAAACCAGTAATTGGTGAAGGAGAAATAGCAGCTTTACTTTACTATAAAAGCAGTTTGAGTAAGCTTAGGACATGGAACCTGCTGTGTTCTGCTCGAAGAGAAATGAGGCGGAAAGGAAGGAACCAATTTAAATCCTGAGCATTTACTGGCACTGTAACAACTGTGCTACCATTTAAAGTATTTTTTAACAACATACACTAAAGCTTGGCACATCAGAAAAATAAACATGTGAAACATTTGCCTATCTGAACTTTGCAATAAACTATGCATGGAACTATTTCAAATTTCTTTGAATAAGGACTTCATAAAAACCTGGTTCATAACTGAGGGTATATTACAGAAGGACCTAAAGCTGGGCATGGTGGTGCACACCTGTAATCCCAGTGCTCAAGGGAGGCAGAGCGGGCAGATCTCTTTGAGTTCAAGGCCAGCCTGGTCTACAAAGTGAGTCCAGGACAGCCAAGGCTATAGAGAGAAACCTTGTCTCAAAAAAAGAAAAAAAGGTGGTGGTGGGGAACGTGACTCCAAAGTTGTCCTTCATATGCACATGGTGACACGTACACACCCTTTATCCCACAATACTCATCACACATTTACACACCATAATCATAAATTATTTTTCCAAAACTGCCATCTCCATAAACTTGTTTCCTCATTAACAAAGACAGAAAGTACCAGGCAACTTCAACTCCAGCTCAAAATCTACTTACACTTTTAAACACTCAAAAGTCCTACTCTAACTATAGCGTAACTACCACTGTTTACCTATTAATCATATTTACATTAGTCTTTATTACTATAATCTTATATTGAAAGAGTGCTATTTTTAACCAATGCTGAATACAGGCACAAACACATGGTAAACATTAGTTTAATAAAATCTTCTAGTAAAATTTTAAATATGAAAAAGATCTTCTAACTGTTTTGTGTTGGGCTGTTATAAACCAACATTCAATAGCATGGCATTTCTGAGAACTTAGGAATGAGTAAGACACTGAAGCCTTCTTTCTATCACTCTCCTTAAAAATGCTGGTAGACAAGACTTTGTGTTAAGTATTGTATTCCTACTCTTACGAAAAAAAATACTAAAATCTTGAGTTCTCATCAAAATTTTCTTATACAGATCACATTGCCAATAAACCATACTTTTAAAAACTTCTGCCATTCTCATGAATGTGGCAAAAATTTTATTAATAAATACTAAGTTCATTTACCCCAACTTTATTTTTTCAAGAGGATTTTTAAAATTTTCAAAAGAAATTTTGTTATTTTACACGTATGGATGTTTTTCCTAGATGGATGGATGTCTCTACATCATGTATGTGCTTGGTAATGGAGGAGGCCAGAAGGTAGCAGATTCCCTGGAACTGAAATTGAACCCAGTTGTTAAGCAAAATGTGGTGCTGGGAAACAACTTTGTTCTTCTGGAAGATAAACCAGTGCTCTTAACCACTGAGCCATCTCAACAGCTCCTCAAAAGATTTCTAACATTCAAATTCCTACATTTGTTTTAGATCCTTAAACAACCTCCTACAAATCAATGTATCTACCAGACTTAGATTGTCCCCTTTTGCTTTCCAAAGGAAAATATTGATTATATTATAAAACGATTATATTATAAAAATATTGATTACATTATAAAATTATCTGGGAATAACAAAATGAATTATTTCAATTAAACCTGAATGTCAATGAGCCTAAGAAATTTCAGAATATGGTAACCTCAATAAAGTTGCCAATAAATGTTAATTTAAAAAAATCAGCACAAAAATTGTGGTAAAATAAATACAGAAGAAAATGTAACTGCCTGAAAGAATACAAAGCACAGACAGTATCAGCTGTCACTCCATTTGAAGAACTAATAAAACACTAATGAGACATTTTATTTTATTTTTTTTTAATTTGGCAGAAAGAAAACATAAAAATCTAGCTTTTAGTTTTTCCAAACTTTACGTGCTTCCTTCAATTCTGTACCTTAAATCATCAAATTATTAGTAATCCTGTACATACTGTAGAACAGAGAAGACAAACAACCTACAGGAGTGAGGTCAAGCTACCTGTGGTTCAGATTTAAACCTGAGTGAGACTGAAATATTCTCTACCTTAGTCTTTCTTTCTCATTGAATGCCTGGGACTCGAGTAGTAATTAACTGATATAAGATACTTCTTCAAAATAGCAAATGTTATGAAGGAGAAAGACAAAAGTCATAAAAACAAATCACACTATCTTAACTATATACCATTAAAACCACAGTATATGAACACAATATGCCTCAAATTTTTAGTCACAGCATAATATAGAACTTTTCTCATATACAAAATCAGTATATGAAACATCCATATATTATGAAAATTAGGAAAACAGAAACACCAGTCTCTATTGGAACTTGTGTTGCTTGATCATATAAAGTCATGCTATTTCATGCCTTTTATAGTATATGACATTTATTTCAACAGAGTGGTTCACACATTTTATGGAAAAATGAGGGTCAGAGCCTCTAACATGAAATTGGTCAGGGAATTGAATCTAGCTGTTTGTTTCACCTTTGCCAGACAGGATCTTTTAACCGAAATAACTGGTAACACACTCATAATAGTTATGACTACCCTACAACTATTAATTGTGTCCAATGGGTTGTTCAGAAGTAAATTCTAAGCATTTTAAACATTTGGAGACTCCATGAGAGGTGACTAGAATGAGCACTTATTTATTTATAAATGGACAGTGACTCATATAGCTAAGGCTGCCTCAATTGCTATGCACCTGAGAATGGTATGAGCTCCTGGTCCTCCTCACTCCATCTCCTATTTGTGGGATTACAAGCATGTACTGTGCCCAACTATGGAATGTATTCCTTGCCCATATCTCTCTATTCTTCTTGCTAATGGCATAAGATAATCTAAAATAACCATTTTGAATAGTAGGTAATTAATCGATCTCTAAAGATTAAAAAAAAAAAAAACTATGGCAAAATTTTACAAGTAGGAAAAGGTTTATTCAAAAGCAGAATTCAAATTACTAAGATTTAAACATAAAAATGAAGCATTTCCTTTTTCTAGCCAACTTGTAGGTACTCCTTACCATCTTCATTTAAAAAGAGTTTGTTGAATCTTAATCCACTTGGCTCTTTCCCAACATAGCGATGCACATACTCAGTTCCCAGATCATTAACAGCAATGGCGTATTTCAGGGGTTTTACACAGGACTGAAGACAAAAGGGAACTTTGGTATCTCCAATAGAATGCCTATTAAAGCACATTTAAAAAACAATTAGTGTCAACTAGAAGCTGTTAGCTTCGTGATTTGACTTGTTCTGTCTACATTAACTCTAATTTATAAATATCTTCCCATAATTTCACAAGTGTTTACCTGAGCACTAAGAATGTCTAAGGGCAGGTGACACTGCACTAAAAGTGCCCACTACCAAGCCTGACAACTGAGCTCGACCCCTGGGGCCCGCATGAGAGAGAACAGACTCCTAAGGTTAGCTAGCCTCTGACCACAAGCACATAATAAATGAAAACAATAAACAAAAAAATTGTTTAAAAGGGATACTGCAAAAAATGACAACAGCTGAAGGCACCCAACACAGTAACAGTTTTATTAACAGTTTTATCAGTAATCAATTCTCTTATACCTCCTACATTCAGAGTAAACCAGCCCTTTTAAAACTTACCTCTTAAAAAATTAACCTCTTTAATTGTAACTTTAAAAATGCTTTTTACTATAACTTACGGATAATTCAGATTAGATAATTAAAATCACAAACCTATGAAAGTTTTAAATTTTACCTTAAAAGAAAAACCTAAAAAATTCTAGGTTTACCTAACTTGTAGTCTTAATAAACTTTAGGGTACTGCCAGGCATGGTGGCACATGCCTGTAGTCAAATAGAGGTAGAAGCATGAAGATACACGGTCTGGGCTACAAGATATGTAGCTTGAGCTACAAAGTAAGTTTTAGGCCAGCCCAACTACATAAGGAAACTGGATCAAAAGAAAAAGAAAAAAAAAATGTATCACTAATATAAATTCATCAAGCTGTATATACTTACCAGTTGTATACATTTTTACCTTAAGTTGTATTTTTTTATTTTAAAAAGTAATTTTAAGGAAGGACTGTATTTGTAAGCTAAATTTTTTACAGTGGGAAAAACGCTGACACACAGAATAATTCTTCTGACATCCAAATTAGAACTTGACAATAACCCTTAATGTCTGACTTCTAGAAAAATAAACATCTATTTTGTATTGAGTTGTACACAGGCATTTTTGCATATGTGCAGGTGGACCTGTGTGCCCATGTTTGAGAAGCCCACCATCAATTATTCCTCCAATGCTCTCCCCTTTACTAAGACAGGGTCTATTTCTCAACTATTTCCTAGTTTTGTTAGCCAACTTGAAGACAATTTCTTCCCAACTGCTGGGGTTATAGAGCCGTTACATTTGCCCAATATTCTGTGCCAGAGACTCTGACTCTGGCCTTCACATTTACATGCACAGCACTTTATCAACCAAGCCATCATGCCCAAGCTCAAAAATAACATTCTTGAAAAAACATTTTAGGACTTTTCCAAAGGTCTCTCTTAATTTAGATTTTTAAAATCAAATCATTCTCTTTATAGTTCTCTCTCTCTGGTAATTCTGTAAGAATCCTCATTTGTCAGTGGCTTGCTTAAAATATAAATATGGTTTTCATGTATTACAAATGCTTTGCAACTGATTTTACTTCGCATATTAATGACAGATAATGTGGGTAGGTTGTGCTACTTAGTTCAAGGCCAGCCTCAGTTGCACAGTGAGTTCCAGGGCTAGACCAGGCTCAATGAAATCAAACATTTCCAGCCCCAAAACAGAATTCGTTCATTTCTACCTCGTGTCTACTGTTATACAAAATTCAAGGCTTAAGGTTGTTCTTCAGACTGAAATAAACTTACCTTTGCCCATCTACCGTACAGACAGATACACCCCACAAATCAGGACTGAACTTGGCCAGTTGAGGAATATAATCAGCAACCTATCCAAATATTAGAAAGACATTAAGAGACATAATATATGCAGTGTGTTTTCTACCACTGATGACTAGTTGTTTCACAGTACTCAGGACCTTCAGTCTGTCTTTTAATGATACTTGTAAAAACTAAGAACACTAAAACATAAACTTGAGTATTAGCATGACATTAGGTGACTTCTCTACCATTCTCTGCAGAGAATCTAAAACAGGAACTTAAAAGACTTTTAAAATAAAATAAAATAAAGGCTTTCAACCTTATAACATAGATTATATAACATAGTCTCTGTTACTGTTTGGAGCACTTGTTTGGTTGTAAAAATGAATGCTGTGTCTGAAGCTGCTGTTGTTGTGGAGGATGGGGTGTTATAGATTCTTCTGTACCACAGGCTAACAGGCTGGTCTCAAATGTGCTTACACTGGAGGCTTCCCTTCCGCCCCTGATCCTCCCCTCCTTTCTCTACCTCCTAAAATGATACTGGGAGTGCAGGTAGGCACTACCATGCTTTATTTTACTTTATATTAATGGGTAGTATATCTGTAGAACTGTCAAATAGTCATTTTTATTAGATAAACTGTAATTTATAAAAATATAAATAAAATTTTAAAAAGTGAAAAAAAAAATGTAAAGCCACTTCAGTCATTTCCAAAAAAAAAAAAAAAAAGATTTTAGCTGGACATGGTAGTACACACGCCTTTAATACCAGCACTGCAGAGGCACAGGTAGGCAGATCTCTATGAGTTGAGTTCAAGGCCAGCCTGATCTATAGAGGGAGTTCCAGGACAGCCAGAGCTGTTACATAGAGAAAAGCTGCCTAGAAAAACCAAACTAAAAAAAATTAAACTTGGTTTTACTCTAGGCATAACAAAAGAGTTAAATACTTATAATGGTTTAAAAGCACTAGATCTAGTGGCTTAACTCGCTGAGTTTCTTAATTTATAAAGAAAATATCCAGGTTTATTCTCTTTACATTAAATGTTTATATTACAAAAGAAAATGTGTATCCAAACCTTACCTTCCCTCCAGACTGCTTCTTTGCACTTTCATATAACTCATCAATGTGTGAGGTGAAGGACATGAAGTCGGGAATGACAAACTTTCTTCTAAAGGCTTGTGTCAACAAAACGATGTTGCTTTGAACACACCTGTGGAATGTGATGGAAAAGAGTGGGTACCTTTTGGTCATCAGACCCTCAACAGCACTAACTAGGAGAATATTAACATTACTGTTAAACGAGAAATAACCCAAGTCAAGTTTAAAACATATTCTTCCTTATGTCCTTTTCTTGCCTTCCAGCTTATCCTAAATAGATTAGAAATAAATTAGGTGTGCCTAAAATTTTTGTCAGATACTAAAATGGTAATGCATCCTTTGAGGCTAAGTATTGGGAAAAATTTTATACCTCCTAGAGTTGATAAATATTCAACATGAGATCTGGTCAATAAAAATCAGACTTTAAGACATCACAAATGAGATTATGAGTATTTTTCAGTTTTAAGTAGCCTTTGACGAATCTTTCTTAGCTCCTGTATAACTACTGGGTAGTATTTCTCAAAAACTTAAAATAACTGCATTTTAACATATTATTCCTGCATAACACTTTGATAACTTTCTAAGATAAAACCAATTTGGTTTGGACAAACTCATTAATTTTCTTAAGTGAAAACTATGTTGACATGTATATATAAGTAATATATACTTTAAAATAAATTTCTTATGAAATAGTATAATAAATTTTATATTACCAAAACCAAAAGCAAGCTATATGTAAATGAAACACATTACAGAATAAAAACCATTTCACTGTTAAAAACCATTTCAAAGACACAGCACTCTGATGATAAAAACCAATATTCTGCTTTCTTCTAAAAATGACAAAAGCTAATAGCATGGCACATTTTTAACTCTGAGCTGAAAACAATCTTAAGATTTCTGAGTTATCAATAACTCAGCTTTAACTGACAAAAAAACAACTTGCTATACATGGACGTCAAGATGCAACACCAACTATAATAAATATTTTAAGGCAAGTCCCATGAGATTGAAAAGAAAAAAAAATGAAATGTTAAAATCAATTCATTGATATGAGAAGTTATTTATGAAACTGGATTCCTCACAGATAAATTAGCATGTTTCAAGAAAAAAGAACAACAATGGGCATTAATGATCTTGTTTGACCTTAAAAATACCATATCTTTCTCAAATGAAAAAGCGTAAAGTAATTCCTATAATTAGGCTACTACTTATTTTTAAATCAAATATACACAAATTTAAGTTATCAACCCACTACTTAGCTCCCCCCATCCTGTTATTTTAAATGTTTAAAACTAATCAGAAGGCTGGAGAGATGGCTCAGTGGTTAAGAGCACCGACTGCTCTTCCAGAACCATGGTTTAATCCCAGCACCGACATGACGGCTCACAGCTGTTTGTTACACCAACTCCAGGAGCTATGATGCCTCAACCAGGCAGCAGATGCATGTGGTGCGGACATACATGAAGGCAAAACACCATACACACAAATTTCAAAGTAAAATAACAGAAACAAACAAAACTAATCAGCCTCTTTAAAGAGGGTTACAGTTAACAAAGCAACACAAAGGACTTTGGGGACTGCGTTTGTTTGTTTGTTTGTTTTAGCATAAGATATTAATAAAAACCATGTGGAAATAGCCTTAAATGGTAAGTTACCATGATAAAGATAATTTCAGAAGACTCCAGCTACACATAATGATGGGTGTTCAAATAAAACTTTCTTGGATATTATTTTAATATAGATGTCATCAGTGTACTAGAAAATAAGTTATTTGAAATAAATTCTGAGGAAAAATACTTTTGCCTTTCAGTGGGTAAAAATCTGTGCTCTGTTCAACCACTTTAACAATTATCTTACAAATACAATGGACATTATTAATGTATTATAAATTTTTCTCAGAGAATTTTTCACTAGTAATACATTAAGTTTTTAGAAAACCAAATAACTACAAATGCAAACCGTTTGCTGTCTCTAAAAACAAGTCCAAAACTATATCACACATAAAATCAATTCTTGTATTTCTACGGTTTAACAATGAATTAATGAGTGAATAAAGAATTTGTTAGCATCAATATTTTCAATAACTACATAGGTAAGCAAAGGCAATCTCTCTTTCAAATTTATTTATCCATGTTAAAAAAAAGTTACATACAATACTTGTTTTTCTACTACAAAGGCTTAAGTAGATGAATTTTAGGTAAAAGATGAACACTTTGATTTAAGCCATAATTATCTACCTTTATAGTTATTCTCTCAGAAAAAAAAAGAATTCCATGTTTTAACAGCAGCATGGAGATGAGATTTTATTTTTGGCACCTCAACTAGGTAACTTCTTATAATTGAAATCAGAGAAGGAATGTCTCTGGAGTCATCACCTTTCAAAGTGACCCAAAAAAACTCAGTGAGAGGTTCTGAGTTAACTCATTCTAGAAAAGAAAAACCCTTTGTCTATGACCTGCTACACAGACTACTGTGTTTCCATGTCAGGTCAGGGACTGCTATATTACAACCTTAGATTTTTAAAACCTGAGTTTGTGTCTAAAAGTATGGTAATTATTATAGATTAATTCAACTACAAATAATTTTATGATTGTGGTTCCTTGGGTTCATAACTGAGAGAGAACATTTAAATTACTTTTAATTTTATAATGAAACAATGTTCATAAAGCACATTTTAAAGCACGTTTAAATGTACAAATTAATGATGTCCTTAAAAATTCTAAAGCCAGTTCCCTACATCTATTATTCACAATCCAACCTACTATCAATTAACTATACTCACAGATAAACTAAAATAATTTCCCAGAAGGCACCACAATCAAGAAAGAGTACTTTGCACATGTTGTTCGTAAGACAAATCCTTACTTACAAAAGTGTGAATAAGTCTAGAGATAAATTCATTTCCTTCCCAAAGTAAATAGATCAACAAACTCCAATTCCTAATAGCAATCGAAGAGTAAGCTTAACGGCTACACTTTAAAGCTGGCTATATTAAGCGAGCCAAGATCATCCGTTCAAAATTGGCAGGCGTGTCACACGCATGCCAGAAACTTCAGAGAACTTTACTTAAATACTTATCCCTCTCAGGACACCAGGACATTCCCAGGAGAGATCTAGAACAAATCATTCAATCCACCAAAGAAATAAAAGGTAATTTAACATACGCATGCACACACAAAAACTTTTAAAGTAAATGCAGAAATTCTTTGGATCCACCTCAACTTAATCCTGTGGTTTTGAAAAAAAAAAAAATCACTGTCTTATAGTTGTTAATAATTTTATAGTGCTGTCCATTAACATTAATAAATTAAAACATTATTTGACTCTTTAGGATCAATTACAAACATATCATCTATTAAAACATAAACTAATACAAACACAGTAATAAAGATTAAGAAACAGATATGCTAGTTTCAGCAATGTGAAAATGTTCTCATTCAACCAAATTAAGGTTTTAATCTTCAAAGTTGTCTTAAGTTCTCAACTGTTTTGCAAAACAAAAAAAGCAAGCACACAAAAAAATTGTAACAGCTCCAAAAACATTTCTTAGTACATTTGAAAAAAAGAGAATCAGGTGATGCAAATATGTAAATATGAGGACTACAGAGCTTTTTGAAGTCCTCTTAAGTTCATCATCCAAATCACCATATAGAAATAAACTACAGACTAAACTGAAAGTCAGCAAATCATGCAGACAGAAAAAAACACCCCAATGTAATCTCTAGGCACAAAACAACATTCATGGCTAATTTTCATTACAACTGCCTCAAACTCAGTGTATTAAAAGAACTTTAATATACACCATCACTGTCTGTCAAAGAAATATTTACAAATCTCTTTTCTCAGTTATACTAAAGTACTGGTCTTCAAAATGTAAAATTGTTTTAAAAGCAAAATCACCATACAGCATAGCAAATCACCATTAAAGGTTTGGCAGAAATTTTTACTTTTTAAAAAGATCTTTGTCTAGCATGACACCATCTGACGTTGTCTGAAGAGTTAATCTTAACATATCCATACACTCTTTCAACCTGGGATCAGACGTTCGCAATCCTGTAGATTTGAGTGCCTGTTTTTAAAAAAATAAGAGTTTGTAAATACATAAGGCAGATAATGTATATGCTTATTCCAACTATAAGTTTCATTCCTGTACATAAAAGTTTCTACCCAAGATTTGATCATGTATGTGGTATTTGTATCATTATTATCCACTTTCTGGACAAGTTTCTCATTGTTTCTTTTTCTTTCATTACCTTGAAGTGAGCATAATAAAAAATTTGAAAACAAGAGAAACACTGTCAGTCAGAACCTATAGGTCAGATAAAACTTTAAGACTATATTTGAGCAATATTATATAACTAACTTAGTATTACTTCCTTGAAAGTTGAGAGAAAAATATAAAAACTTACTGTAATAAACTTGTGAACAGGGATTTTGTCTTGTCCTTCTGCAATTGTGTAGAACAGCAAATCTTCCAAGCTAGGTAACAGACCCTGTTTTATTTTACTAAAGGAGAAGAAAAATAATATAAAATTAATCCTGTATAAATAATGGGATAGACAACAATCAGGTCCATTATTAAATAATCACTGTACCAGACAATAGTTGAGATGATACATTCATGAATACTAATTCACTGATTCAACAAAATTCAATCAGTATCATTAGAATCCACATTGAAAAAAAAGTTAAAAAATATTCATTAGCAGTTTTCAATGTCAGGTCATTTTATTTTCGGTCACATACATAATTTTAAGTCTAGGTTCTATTAACAAAAATATACAGTAGGTCTCCTTCTAAAGTCTGGCTTACTTCACTTAACATAATGATTTCCAGTTACATGCATTTTCCTGTAAATATGACTTCATGTATTCTACAGCTCAGTTAAACTCCACATATTTACACACAACATTATCTACCTACCTGAGAGGCCTCTACACAGACACAGTTCCTGGCTACTGTGAATACTACAGCAGTAAAAAACATGCATGTGCAAGTAAATCTATGATTTGCTGACCTAGAACTCTGTACAGAGGAATGACAGCTGGATTATGAGTTTTTGTTAGTTCAGTGAATGTGCATGTAGGCATCAACACTTACTGTATCTTTATAAGATATTCAAATGGTGAATCTAAAATCTGGGAGAGACAGCAAACTATCTCTCTATAAAAATTCTTGAACTCTGGTTATTAATACTAGCTGTGTAGTCTTTAGGCTATTTAATTAAACTCCCTGCAATTCAGAGAAAGGGGGATATGTCTACCTCAGAAAGTAGTCACAAAGAGTTAGCTCAGTACATCCAACATTTTTAAATGCTGCCTGATAGAATGTAAGTACGCAAACTAAGTCTAAGTTCACTGTAGTTCTTTTAATTTTTTCTCCATGTGTATGTACTTGCACGAGTACCTGCAGAGGCCGGAAGAGGGCATCAGATGTCTGGAGCCCAGAATTACAGCAGTAAGCTTCCTGACTTGGGTGCTGAGAACCAAACTTGGTTCTCTAGAATAACACCAAATGCTCTTAACCACTGGATCAGTAGTTGTTATTTCTAAAGCAATATACACTTATATAAAAAAAACAAAACTCCACATATCACAGAGTAAGAAAAATCTACCAGAAACTCTTTAATAACTAATGTGACAAAAAAATTGCTAAGATTAGCAAAACTTGTAAACAGAAAAGCAATATTCCTATCTATTAAAGAGCCTTTAAGTAAACAAATTATCACACACTAATTTAATTTCTTTTGGGAAAGAGGTCTCAGAAACTGAAAACACTCCATTATTCCCATTATCATTGAGGTAAATATTTATAATGACAAGAATCACAGGTCTCAGGGGCTGGAGAGATGGCTCCACAGATAAAAGCACTGTCTGCTCTTACAGAGGTCCTGAGTTCAATTCCCAGCACCCACATGGTGGCTCACAACCACCTATACTGAAATCTGATGCCCTCTTATGGTGTGCAGGTGTACATGTAGACAGAGCACTCACACATAACATAAACAAATAAAATCTTTAAAAAAAAAAAAAAAAAAAAAGAATGACAAGTCTCAGCAAGGCATAACTAACATCTGCAAGCCCAGCCCAGGAAGGCTCAGATAGGAGGATTAGCCCACATTCAAAGCCTGCCTGGGCTACAGTTGAAACCCTGTCTCAAAACAGAAGAATCACTGGTTTAAGGCAGACCAATCCCCTGCCTACCTATCATGACTCATTAACTGTACAAGGGAAATACATATAACTCTATTTCAAAGAGCAACCTCATGAAATAAAATAATCTTTTAAAATACCATCATTTCTAGACTAGTCATAAGTATAATAGAAACTTAGTATTGTATGACAGCATAAGTATAATAGCAAAGGGTAAATTATGTGCATTTCTCTTATTTAAAAAATGACAGATCATATCTGTTGAAAACTGTTTCTGTATTATTGAAAAGACCTTTCTATATGTCTAAATGTTTCCTGGATTAAAGATTATATAACAACTCTGAACTTTAATAAGACCACTAGTATTTCATTATTTCCTAATAAAATTACTTCCCAAACTACTATTAATGTGCATACACATACATACATATATGACATAATTACATATCTGTATTAAAAGACAATAAAATGACTGACTCAACCATGAAAACATACATAAAACCTAAAATTTCTCATAAAAGAAACATTAATATTGGCATTGATATAATTTATCTTTATTTCAAGACACTGCTGTACCAACCTTTAAGGTCTTTATATTTTTTATTAACTCTGTGTGTAAGTGCAAGTACGCATGGGGCATGAAGGACATGAGAACAACTTGGAGGAGTCAGTTCTCTTCCTCCATGCGGGCTGCAGTGACCCTGCTCAGGTCTCTAGGCTTGAGTGACAAGTGCGTTTATCATCTCAGCTCACTGGCCCCAACCTTGCAATTAAAACAACTAACAAAATATCAATTTATCAATACTAGTATGTTTTAAAAATTAACCTTTATAAAAAGGTAATAACATATCCTGACATAAATTTGACCTTGGACAAACTTTTTTAAAAAGCACCTATAATATTTTAATAAATGACTATTACTTACATACTGTGCTAAACGCTTCATAAACATTTTTATTGAATCCTTTCTGATTTAACGACAGAAATTCAAGTCTTACAAAATATATAATTTCTGATATTAAACAAATGCACTTGTTGATACTACCTCCACAGATAGAAAAAGACACTTAAGTTCAGAGAGGCTAAGAACCTTCCCATGGTTGCACACCAACAGAAATAACTTTGAATGTCTGTTTCGTTGAATCTGGGATTCAAACTTCAGTACTGGTCCTCTGACTTACTACCTACTTACTACTTTTATAGGGCACAGCATGTTTTCTAAATTTTTATCCTGATCTAATAGCCTTAAACAAGAGTTCAATAACAGTGATGATCCAATATTTAAAGAAAAATTGAACCAGCTGTCAAAATCAGTGACTAATAACAAACCAATTATTTACAGAAAGTGGTTTGTCAGATAAACCTCTGATAATGGTAGTTTATCACTTTAAAAACTGCAGAATAAGCTTTCTACATACTCATCAAACCAGAAAATGGTATTTACTTTGCTTAAAAGCTATGTAAATAACATGAAATATACACTTCTTTCACTTATGGTACACAGCAAAAAAAAAAAAAAAAAAAAATTAAAATGCTCCTTTTATTACCACAGCTAGCAAAGTAAGTAAATATTTACTTGCTTAAAAGAAAAACTATTTTGTATCCATAGGAGGAAAAATGTAAGCCATGCCTAAGATACATGATCCTAAAATTGTCAAGACTGGTATGGCAGCTCATACCTGTAAGGCTGCACTCAGGAGGCCAGAGAAAGAAATATTCTTAAGTGCAAGGCCAGCCAGGTCTACAGAGCAAGGGCACAAACATCACTATAGCTGAACCAAGCACAAATACTTTTCCCCAACCTTTCAAAAAAGCAGAAATCACACCAAAGACCTTGCTTTATCCTACTTTCTTCTTTCCTAAACTGTTACCTTTATGTTTTCATAACCATGTATTTATCTGTTAGATACGAAAGCTAAAAACTCTTTAGAAACTATACACAAGATGACTGTTTTACCCTGTTTATCACAGCTTCAGCTGTCAAACTGACACAATCCAGAGTCACCTGGGAAGAGGGATCCTCAGCTAAACAAAGATCAGGTCATACTGTCATGAGGTAATGTCTGTGAGATATTTTCTTAATTGCTGTTAAAGTAGGAGGTCCCAAGCACACACTAGCCTGTCCCTGGGCACATGGACCTGCCCCTTCTCACAAACACCTGAGCAAGTCATCAGCATTACTCTGTGGTTTCTGCCCTAAGCTGCCTTAACCTGTAAGATGAAATAAAGCCTTTTTATTTCCTCTACAATATACTTTTTGTTTACAGTGCACTGCAGGCTAGTTTTAAGTCAACTTAACACAAGCTAAAGTCTTTTGAGAAACCTCAATTGAGAAAATGCCCCCATGGTATTGACTGCTGGGCAAACCTATGCTACATTTTCTTGACTAATGATTGCTGTAGGAGGGCCTAGACCACCATAGGCAGTGCTTTCCCACTAGGCATCCGGTCTTGGAAGCTATCAAAAGCAGGCTGAGAAAGCCATGAGGAGCGATCCAGTAAGCAGCACTCCTTCAGTCTCTGACCAGTTCCTGCCCTGACTTCCTTCATGATTAACTGCAATGTGGAAGTATAAGCAAAATAAACCCTTTTTTCCCCAGTTGCTTTTGGTCATGGTATTTTATCACAATAGAAACCTAAACTAAGAAACCAACAGAAACCAAACTAAGAATTGTTAAAACAACTTTTACAAAGCAAGGAGATTATTTTAAACAAAGGCCAGCATTTCACTGCAATCACATTGGTACAACTATAGTTGACTTACTCAGAACTAAATTATAGGGAAAAGTTAATAAAAATCAGACTCCAGCTATATATAGGGGAAATCAAATCACTCTGAAAATATAAAGACAGTCCTTTTCAGGCATGAACTCTTGTTCTCAAAGTATTTTAAATAGTTAACAAACAACCTTTCTATAACATAACAGAAGTGGGAGGATAAAACAGAGGTTGGAGACATGGATTTTTAAGGTCTCTGTCAAACCTAAAAATTCAATGAAGTGTTCACCAGACCATCAATAACAGTGTGTATGGGGGGAGTACTATGAACTTGGAATTTACTCTTCTGGAATACTTTGTGAAATACACAAAATGGGGTAGAATTTATCTGTGAAGTCACTTTTAAATTCTAATTGCTAATGAGTTGCTTAAAATGATGTCATAAATTCTAATAAAATCCTAATTTTGCTCAGTATTCACATTTCCTTAATTTACAAGTACATTCTTAACATAAACACTGTGAGTGGTACTTAATGTTGAACTGTATAACTACACTGAGTAAAACAGTAAATTTTATGCTATATATATTTTATTATAATTTAAAAATTGGTTATAAAAGGTGACAGTCATGAAAATG